AATTATATAGGAGGTGGCTTCAGAATCTGCTCAGTGTTGTTCTTGGCTTCTTTCTCCCAGGTCCCAAGTGCAGCTAGACATAGCTTCGGCATCCTCCATCCAAGTTGTGGGAGTTGTGGAACCTCTCATACAAAATGCTGAGATCCTCTTTCCAGGAGGTAACACAAATTCTTTTTTCTAAGGGCAAACTGGACTCTTCCACACAGCTTCTAAGCAGATACATGTAGTCGGTATCAAGTTGAAAAGGATGGCTTAGGGAGACTGGAAAATGGAATTAGTAAATGATTCTGTGAATTCATTAGTCCCTACAAAAAAGAAATCTCTATGTGCTTTATGGAGTAACTATGCATTGCAATAATATCATTCATGTACTGTATTTCTCTTTGCCATGCAAGTTTCAATAGCAAGAGTTTTGCTATCCAGTGTTACAATAAGAGCTGCAAAATGTGTGTGTGTGTGTGTGTGTGCGTGCACGCATGCGCGCAGGAGTTCTTGTGCTTCTTTGGAGCAAATAAAATATATAATTTATATAAATAATGTTTAATATTTAAAAATGAGGTTCTTTATAAAGGTGGATAGAGAGATGGGTTTAAAAATATTTCACACTTTTAAAGATATAGGGATAAAAAATTAGTATATCTGAGCCATTTTGGGGGAGAACTCAAATCAATGCGAGATGCAGAAGCTGCATGTGGATGATTTTTATCGAGTATGTTTTATATGCAGTTACCAACTCTTCTCAAAGGAACCTCCAAGGCACTTCATTAAATTATGCGTTGAACGTCATCATGGTATTTCAGCCAAATGTATTACCTTTCTCCAGGGCTAAACCTAGATCCTAGATGGGAGGTGCTTTCTTAATCAAAAAGTAGATAAATGAACAGATAGTGCCTTTCAGCAATTTAAATACCTGGCTCTTGGCATTAACTTTTAAGGGCTTTGGAGGGAAGAGTCACAGATTTCTGACTTTTAGCCAGGCTGTCTCTTCTTGACTTTGCATGAATTGACTATTCTGTATTAGAGCACTAATAAATCTTATGAGAAACAAAGAGGTGGAAGAAATCAGAGATGAACCTTGTGCTGCTAGAGATAATTGCAGAACATTATAATAGCTTTTAGACACTCAGACTATCTCATGCATTTTTTTTCTTTTTTCCTTAAGATATTAACTTCGATGTCTCCAGTCTGTTCACTCCTCCATTAGACATCAAAAATCAAAACATCCTCACAATAGAAGAACCTTCAGCAGTGTTTCTGCCTTCTGAATCTAATTCCCCTATGCCTGAAGAAAGGTATACATAGACAGCTATAACCTTCAGCTATGCTCCTTATCTGTTTGTACTTCCCCCACCCCAGTTTCAGTTTTAAAAAATTTTTCACTCAGCCTTCCAGCTAGAGTGGTATCCATTTGAAGATATCTTCTTCTGTTGGGCTTGTCTGGTCCAAGTCTGATTTCAAAATAAAGAACTGGATATTGATAAAACCTACCAGTCTTCCTCTGTACCATATCAAAAGTTACGCTGAAATGAAATTGGACCATGATTGGAAAATTGTTTCTAGTTTGGAAGATTAATTTGTGGAAAATGGCTGGTCCAGGATGGCTAGAACAGTGTGGTCCAAAGGAGAAATGGAAGGTGTTGCACTTTCCTACCAAGAATGTTGTGAATAAAAAGGCCATGAAAGTATTCATCTGACTTAGCATCTGGACAGCAGCATAAATATACATACAGAGCATGTGGTCACAGTTGCTCTAATATGGATTTAATACATTGTACTTTTTTCAGTTATATCAGTTCCTCAAAAAAATTGTAGCAATATATTTCAATTAGAAAACATGGAACTTCTGTTATCCAATTTTTATTCAAATACAGTTCTTTTTAGTGATGCAATGTGCCCATTTACCTCCTATCATAACAGGACACTGCTGCAGTTTATGTAATACAAGGGTATCAAACTCCAACATCACGTGACGTGTCGCGACATATCGCAACTTTTTTCCATTGCCGGCAATGGGGTGGGCACAGTTTTGGCATGATGCATCCAGCCCGTGGGCCGGCAATTTGACACCCCTGATTTAATACAATAGTTACAAATAGACCGGGTATAAGTCTAAACGTTGCTTAATAAAACATTTGTAAAAATAATAAAGGAGGAATCAAATAATCACTATACCTACAATAACATACTATACATAAGCTAATTGTCTTACAGCTTAACATAATGATCTGCTTTATATCCTATTCTAAGATGATGGCTGGGTTTCTAATAAAAACCTAACCAATCATAAGCTACTCTATGTTACTTTAGCTTGCTCTGGTATGTGCTGCTTGTGCAGCCATATTGTTGATGCTTACAGGAAAAACACTCCAGAGAAGGCGGCTTTCTCCAACCATCATTATGAAATAGGATATGATTGTATGCATTTTAACCTGACTTTGTACTAACACCGTGGTGGCGAACCTATGGCACGCGTGCCACAGGTGGCACACAGAGCCCTCTCTGTGGGCACGCACACTGTCGCCCCAGTCCTAACCCTTCAGCTGGGTTTTATAAAACCTTTTTGCTTTAGGTCTCCACCACCGTGTACAAAAAAAAAGGTTCAGTCAATTTCAACTTCTTGAAAAAAGATCTCACAAAGTTGGAATTCATTGATTGAACTTTTTAGTCCTATCCAGTCTGCCATTACCACCGAAGCCATGCCCACCCAATGGGCCACGCCCACCCAATTGACCACACCCACTCAATGGGCCACGCCTACCTGGCACCCGGCAATACATAAGTGGGTTTTGGATCACAGTTTGGGCACTTGGTCTCTAAACGTTTCACCATCACTGTACTAACAAGTCAGTAGCATATAAAAAGCAGGACTAATAGTCCCTCCCTCAAGCCTACATTAAAAAAATAATCCCAAAGAAAAAAACATTAGGAAAAGAGAAAAGAAGAAAACATAACTCTGGAGCCAGTTTTTATGACTTATTCTTCTCTGGAATGCACAAAGCAAATTTCAGCTGTTCTTCACTGCTCAGTGAAGGGAATAAAAACTCCACTGTAATCTTCCTGGAATACAGGGGAGCCACTATTTTAGTGGTTTGTGGTTGATATCAAAGGATTAAGAATGGAAAGTATCTCTGGAATTTCTCTGTACACTAATTGCTTTTGGAAGCCTACAAATGAGAGTTTATAAGACTTTTCCACATTGACAGGAAAAAATCTGAAGTTATTCCAGAAACAGTGTCCTCAAAAGTGACCGAGTCTTCTACTGAAACAACCATCTGCCCACCTACCTCTGCTTCTGCTGATGAGACCTCACGAAAAAGTAAGTTTCATAGTACTACCATAGTAATCATTTTGCCTCTCCTATTGACACTAGCTGCCAATGTTCCCAAATCACTGCATGTTTTGCATTTTCCCACAATGCATTTATATGTGTTGTATATAGTGTCCTCACAAGTTCTAATTTTGTGTTATTAAAAAAATGCTTCAAATGGGATTGTAGCAAGATACATTCATTAAATACAAGACAGTGGTACTATTTTGTATTATGAAAGCATTGTTTGTGGCATGGGAGATTCAAAAGGTTTTAGTTGTGCAATCGGTGCTCCTTAGAATTTTAGACAGATCTGATGATAACATTTTATACTGATACTTAAGGAATAATGGAATAGTGGCACAATATATTTTGATTGACAGAGTTGGAAGCTATCTGTTTGTAAATATGCAATGACATACTACTTGTTGGCTGTGTTATTCTGTTTACCTCCATATCATTCTGCTATTCATAGCTGTCTTTTGTTTTACTGTCCTGTTCAGAAAATTCATAGCATAGTCAAGGATGACTAACTAGAGCATAGCTCTGTATGTGCTTTGAAGTGACAAGACTAGATAAAATAGAAGGCAAACATATATAGAAAATTCATACTGCAGTTTGATAAGGTTGGGCATAATCTATCTTAAATACAGATTTCAGTTTATCCACAATTCTGGTATTGTTAGGAACCACCTTATGCAGTTAACCACATATAAATAACGCATATCAAAACCCAGCACTTTTAGAAATAATTTTATTTCAAGTTTAAGAAACAGATACAGAGAAAGTACAAAGAAAATAGTTAAAAGAGAGTTTTATATCAAATATGCCAGCGTTTTTCTGGATTCATGCAAAGCTGAGACCCAGGAGTAAGAATAAAAAATGTCTAAAATATGGGATTTTGTTTTGTTTTTTCTTTCATTCTCCTTTACAGCAAAGCGGGTGGCTCCACCCAGACCTACCATGCCTCCACCCCATCCTCAAACCACACCACTTGTTCATCTTCACATGCCTCCTCCTTCTCCAGAGTCTGTCTCCATCCCTAAAGCCTTGCCTCGAAGAACAGTAGGGGGACCAGCACGAGCTCCAGTTATGCCACCCCCACTTCCTCCCCAGCCAGCCAGAAGGCAGAGTCACAAAGCTCCACCATCACCTAGGCCTCCTTCAGAAGCTATGAACAATAAGGCAGCTGCAGCTGAAGAGGATTCTACTAATGTCTGCAGTAGAGAAACTCCCAAAGATTCCATCCTTACAAAGAAAGAAGCCAATGAAGGAAAAATCAGCTCTCCATCTGCTGCTGCTCAGAAAGTAGAAACTCTGGAGAATGTTTGAGAGGAAGAGTTTTACTGGCTTTGCTTTTGCCTATCCAATTTGTTGCAATTCTTTTCGCCCTGGTATTTTGTTAAATGTTCCCCAAATGCCTCAAGGTGCAAGGGTCATGTCTCTTGGGACCCTTATGTATGGTCTATTTAAATCAAACTCCCCCCCCAAAAAATAAATAGAAAATCCTCTCCTCCTGTTTACAAACATTAGAGCATCAATCAGTACAGGGTGTCCTTCATGCAATATTTGAATCCAAGCCCTGTACAGGAGCAGTGGTCTGATACAACATACCGTACTTCACTTTCCTACGATTCTGTTATCAGTCTATAAAGCACAAAATAGCTTTTCATTAACAGTACTCTGCTTTTTTATTATTTTTGACAAAACATTTGTGGAAGCTTCTGAATAAATGTTAAAAGAAGATAGATTATGTTGTCTTCTCTTTATTGCAGTTATACCATACATCTTGCATTAATCCTATCTATGAGAATTATACTTACCCTTTTAAAAAGTGGTTATTTTGTTGGAGAAACATTTTATCTATAACTTAATTTTAAGAATGTCTCTAGTTCATGTAAGATGATCCAAATAGTTCATATAGGCAAAAGGCAAATCAAAGAAACTGTGTATCAATTTTGCCTGTATCAAAGATAAATACAGCTCTTGTTTTATTGAGATAAAAGGTGTTTTGTAACATTATAAAGTCTAATAAATACATTGCCAATGAATACCCTTATCAATTTTCACTTTTAGGAACTGCTTCAAGAAAAACAAAGGAAAGGATAGGCAAATAAAATAAAATTGCAATTGAAAGACACTTCCCCCCATAAAATCAAAAGTGTAGGCAATATATAACTTTTGGTAAGAAAACAAATACACTGTAATAGACAAGAAAGAGCATAATAAAAATCTTGGGTCATACATGACACACAGAGAAAAAAAATGAACAAATGCAGCAAGCATTCATGCTGACACAATAAAAATGGGCCCATCAGAAGCAGCTGAAGAGTTCAAATCCCTGGCCTTTCCTGGAGAACAAGATTTTTTTCTGCATGCTTTAAATGGCTAGAATGTGCTTTCAAGCTTTATTTCCCAACCCTGTGCCTATGTCAGGCACGAAAGACCAGGTCCACACACAAAGGTCCAATTAAACAGATTTATTGCTAAACAGCCTATGCACAGAAATCTTCTCAACTAATGGTTAGCACCTGTTTGGAGTTAAATAAGGGTCCATGGAATTCAAGGGAAGTTGGACTTAGTCCATTTGTGACTAAGTTGAGACTCTAGGCTGGTTCTTCTTTTAACTTCACCTGTAGGTTCTGCCATTTCTTTTCCTACATGCTGTCACCTTGTTTTTTATTCTTTTCACAGAGGAAAAAGTAGGAAAACAAGTGAAAGCAGTATCTCAGGCAATTCTCTTCATTTCTATAGCAACTATCTGGCATTTACCCTCAACCAGCTTCTTGAATACAGTTTGCCAACAGGGGGCTTTCTAAAGGTAGCAAGAATAGCTTCCATGGAAGAAAACGGAATCAGTATTTTGCATTACTTGAACAGGTGTACTATTTTGTTCAGCACAGGAGTCACTTATATGAGTGACACTATTTAAATCAGATGATGACAGTGACAACAATGATGAGTATAGACATACATAGGTAGACAGGACTACTAGAGTATAAGGTAATGTCCTTCTGTACCACAAAGCCCACATTCTGGAGAGAGAGGATCATTGATTTGAAAGAGAAGTAAAAGAGGCCATTTATGTTAACACTGAGCAGCCATCTCTCAACAGAGGGGGATAAGACACCATTTTATCTCCTGTCTACAACGCAAACCCTGCAGCACTTCCAAAAGAAGATTCCACCCCCACCACCCCCATTTGCACTCTGATACAGGTGACCCCGAGGGCACAGATAAACCCTCCAAGGCAGTGTTTCTCAACCATGACAATTTTAAGGCATGTGGACTTCAACTCCCAGAATTCCACAGCCAGCATTGCTGGCTGTGGAATTCTGGGAGTTGAAGTCCACATGCCTTAAAATTGTCAAGGTTGAGAAACACTGTAAATTAACCGTCCTTCATCTTTTCTCTCACCAGGTTCTTAATTCTGTTGCCTTTAAGCCCCGCTGGCTTTTTTTTTTTTTCACGGTCCGTAACGTGAGTTTTTCAAACGTTCATTTGTAAGAGCCTTTATCTTTCTAACAGGTTTGCAACACGTGCCACTTTATTTTGACCCGCCTCTTCCTTGTTTTCTTCCACCAATGGGCTGAAGCTACAGGGGCGGGGGAATACTACTTTACCCCTACCGCTCCTCAGTTAGAAAGGAAGACGAGCGCCCCCTTACGGGTCTTGCTCAGAACGCCCTCTTGTGTCTTCTTTCTTTCTCGCTTGTAAACCGGTTGCCATGGAGCAACACAGCCCGCCCCGCTTTGAGCACCTCGGGCGAATACTCCACCCTTCCCCTTTTAATGCATTCGCCGTACCAGCTCCTGTGATTGGACGACGACCCTCAGATCTTCCCTGTTTCGTTCGAACCGGGTCGAGCCCCCGGCTCTTCAGGCATCTGATTGGTCCTGTTTCCTAAGTCCGTCAAGGGAACGGCGCGCTTCTGATTGGCTGCGTCGCCGCCAGGAGGACGGGGGGCGGGGCGGCGAGTGCGGATCCAGCATGGCGGGCTGCAGGCGGCTGAGCGGCGCTTGTCTGCGCGAGGTGCTGGGGGAGGCGCAGGGGCTGCTCTTCGACTGCGACGGGGTCCTGTGGACCGGCGATCGGGCGGTTCCGGGCGCGCCGGAGCTGCTGGAGCGCCTGAACCTGAACGGGAAGACCACCCTGTTTGTCTCCAACAACAGCCGCCGCTCCG